TGGAGAGATGATTTGTGCTTAAGATCTGAGCCTGAATTTCAGCACCCACAGCAGCTGACTCACAACTAGCTGGAGCTCTAGCTTCAGGGGGATGCAACACCTCTGGCCTCTGTGGAACCCACACTCATGATCATATATATACAAACACACACACACACACATGCATACATGAACATGAACATACAGAGAATTAAAAATAAAAAAGAAACAGAGGACAGAGAAAGAGTTGATATGGTGGCTATGTCTAGGACTGCCATGGAAATGGAGAAAAACAGTTTGACCTGATGTGTGTTTTAAGATAAAGTTATCAGGATTTGCTGATGTGTCTCAATACCTATCAAGGTAGCCTAAGAAGACACTGGAAGGTGAGAGGGTACATGGTGGTGCTGTTTCTCTCCCCAGAAATGCCCACTTTTAACCACTCAGGTGCTCCTAAGACATTTCTTAGACTGAGGTCGCTTGGTGTGACACATGGTGCTGCCAGAATTTAGCTTCAACATGGAATTTTTAAAGAAAATTTTGGTGCCACCTCCTGCCACCCCCTTTGTCTCTCTGTGGAGGGTTGTTGACTTTATTGCTACTTAAATTTTTATATTAGATTTACTCACTGTATTTTTTTGTACCAGTGTTTTGCCCACGTTTACATCTGTGCACCAGGTTCAAGCTTGGTGTCTGAGGTCAGAAGAGGGTGTCAGACTGAAGTTATGAATGCTTGTGAAACACCATGTGCATGCTGAGAACTGAACCCAGGTTTTCTGCAAGAGCAACACATAGCTCCAGCCCACCATACTGCATTTTTGAAGTAATGCAGCAAAAAGTAAAATGACATTTCAGGGCAATGGAATTTCCTACTGCATTTCCAACAACCAATACTTTAAATCTTTCGTGATATCAAGTCTTCTATTGGGTCAAGTGGAGCCAAATCATAACTGCTTCTCCACCTGGGTTGCCATCATTGGCATCGTCTATACTATCATCAAGATATTGTAGGGTTCTTCAGATCTCTACATTAGCTTTTTTGCTTGGGAAATAATAACCCTTCTTTGTTCCCTACTTTTCTAGATTTTTCTAGTTCCAAAGCTGGGGGTTATTCAGACAAACAGATTCATAATGTTCTAAATGTTTGATGGTTGAATCTTTGGGACCTGGGGTTGAATGGTAAATTATAGCAAGAAGTATGCCTTTATTTTCTAACTAAGTGGGAAACACATATGTGTATATAATTTAACTGAAAGTGGAAGGAACATTTTGCAGACATCTGAGCAGGTTAACAAATCGTATTTGTATACGTGTAACTAAAACAGTAATTTATCAGGTAGAAGGCAGATGGGGGAACAAAAATGCCAACCTGTGTCTACAGCGGGGCTGAGCTGATGATGAAGAGCTGTTTACTCAGGGCCAGCATCGCTCGTCATCAACGTAAAAGCCACTGTAGCACATGACTCCCTGCATAGCTAGAAGACAATAATAAATTATATGCTATGCAAACAACACCAGCATAAAAGCAGAACAAACAGACTGTGCCTCCCAGATTCCTGAAGAGTTTCACTCATTCCCTTGTTTGGCTATTTTAAATATGAAGCTCTTGACACTACCTTTAGGCCAGTAGAGTGGAATCTGGCTTAGACAAATTCATCAAAGTACATGGGGTATCAATGCTGATCTTTGTTTGGGTTACCATAAAATGTACCTGGTTTTGACAGTATGCCAAAATGACTCACATAATTTTTTTATCAGTACTTCTTTTAATTCCATGGAATTTGGTTTGCTGTCACCCATAGGAGGACTGGGCAATCTTACCCAGAAGACCTAGACTGTAAGAATTATTTAAGGGTCATGATAAAAAACATACATTCTTAGACTTGGTCTCTGAAATGCTAAATAACAATCCCCAGCAAAGTGTTTGGAATGCACAGCCCAGGGTGTTTTTGTGATGAGGTCAATATTAAGAATTAGGAGTTGGAAGTGTTATCCATCTAAGTCCCAGGAGAGCACTGAGTGCCAAGGACTAGTTTGCTGGAAAATATATGGACCAGTCCCTTGCTAATGCAGAGCTTTATAGGTTGGATGTGGAGGCAGATGCAGTTTCAGTAAGTCTGAGGTATGGGTGGAGTCAGTACTAGTGCTACTAGACAGGATGCTAGAGGGGCCTGTGTAGCACAGAAGAGTCCAAACAGCTTCTGATTAGCTAGCATTCTTGACTAGCAGAACAGCTTTGAATGATGCTTCTGAATCGTAATTTGCTCATGTAAAGTCAAGCTAACCTGTTCTTTTTAAAATTTTATTTAAATTAAAAACAATCTTATTTTGTGTACCAATTCCAGTTCCCTCTCCTTCCCATCCTTCCATTTCCCCCACCAACCCTCCATCCCACCCCCTATCCATGCCTCAGAGAGGGCGAGGCCTCCCATGGAAGATCATCGAAGTCTGTCACATCATTTGGGGCAGGACCTAGGCCCTCCCTGGTGTATCTTGGCTGCAAGAGTTAACCTGTTCATGTTTAAATAATATAAGGGGAGTGATCACTGATATGTGTAAAAATGTCTTCAGAAGGTGTGCCTTCCTTGTAGGAGTTTATGACTGTGTTGGGGGGGGTCATATACTTTAACATATTTGGAAAGGGAAGTTGTGAGACTTCTTACAAAGTCTTCAGTTACTGATGATAAACCGTAGGAAAGTGTCATTCCTGTTTGCTTTCAAGATCAGCTCTGCTTCCATCCATAGTGGCACAAAGTCCAACAGCAAGTATCTTGATTAATCACCTAGTGAATGCTAATTCTGCATAAGGGATGATCAGATCCAAAGAAGGCACACTCTAAACTCCTATAGGTGAATTCATTCTCCAATATCTATTTAGTGATTGCTTCCATGGCATTCAGACACCAGATTACAAGCATGTGTACAGGCAAGGTCCTTTCTGGGTCACATGCTTCCAAGGTTCTTGTATTCGAGCATCACAAACTTCACTACCAAGTCAGATAATAGCTCCTCTATTTCCAACAATAATACATCCAAAGGGCTTTGTGATTCTTGTGTGTACTTCTTTCCAACCTAAAAGACAGTGATCTAGTAAAATCCCTAACAAACATAGCTGCTATGAGAAGCCGGGCATGGTGGCTCACGCCTTTAGTTCCAGCATTCAGGAGGCAGAGATAGGTAGATCTCTGCTAGTTCAAGGGCAGCCTGATGCCTAGTGAATTCCAGGACAGTCGGGGCTATGAAGAGAGACCCTGTCTCAAAAAAACAAAAGCAAACATATAGCCAAGCCTCATCAACACATTGAAACTCCACCCACCAGGGTCTCAGGGGTTTCATAGACCTTAAGATTCCACCCAGCAAAATTGCAGTGCCTATGCTTTTAATGGTAATTTTAGTGGCTGATAAGTAATCTTAAGCAGCTACATATGCAAATATTAATGTGGTAACAAGTCTATAACTATATGTACCCATTTGGCTGTTCACAAAGATTATGAGAGGGCAGCATGACAATCACATTATCTATGATAAATACTTCTGTAAAGTTTTAATATTGTACCACAATAAACATAATTATAATTACTATTGTAACAAAATGCTTAGAATTCTCTAAATCCCTTGAGTGTACATCTTGATGTTTTTCACTGACAGCATGATAAACTATCACATAACTGGTTTTACAAGATGAGGGTGATGAGGATAGTGGTGGTGGTGATGGTGTGTTTGTGTGTGTGTGTGTGTGTGTGTGTGTGTTTGTTTGTTTGTGCTTGCATTCACAAAGCCCTGAATTCAACACCACAGCTCCACATCCAGTAGACCCTGTCTCAAAACTGAATTCCTCAGCCAATTCATCAAAGTTCATCTTTGGGAATATTGGATGGAAACTAACAATAGTCATAGAAAATAAAATTATAGGGCCAGAGAGGTAATTCATCAGATAAGAATACTTGAAGCACAAGCCTGACAACCTGTGTTCAATCTCCAGAACCCACACAAAAGATCCAGATGCAATGGCACACATCTGTAATCCCAGAATTCCTTCAGTAAACTGAGACTTGGAGATAGAGTAGGCAGAGTGTTCACAAGCCAACTAGACTAGAGTATGCAGAGCAACAACAGAAACAAGGAAGACCTGCCAAGCAAGGGAGGGAAGAACTGATTCCCAAAAGTTGTCCTCTGATATCTGTACACCCACACACTCAAACATGCATGCACACACGCACGCCTACGATGCTGTATTAGTTACTTCTGTTGCTGTGGTAAAATATCATGACCACCCAACCTATAGAAGGAGTTTGTAGGAGCTTATGGTTCCAGAGGGATAAAAGTCCACTGTGATGAGGACTCACGGCAGGAGGAGTAGGAAACTGAGAGATCACATCTTTTACTGCAAGCACAAAGCAGAGAGAGCACATTGAAATTAGGGCTAGGCCTGCCTCCCTTTCTCAGCAAGACTATACCGCCTAAACTTCCACAATGACACCACCAACTGGGAACAAACTGGGCAAATATTTGAGCCTAGGGCAATATTCTCATTCAAATATGTTTGGCAGGGCACCAAAAAAGAAAACAATATTATAGGACATCAGTATATCAGAATATATCATATATGAAGACAAGGAGACAAATAAGAACTTCACCATACTTTTTGAAGGAAGAGACTCTTGGTTTATGATGCTTCTTGCTTTTCTAGTGACAGGTTGAGATTAGAGTCAACAGAAATTCTTATAGAGTATTATAAATGGTGAGAGCTAGAAGTGCTTTTCAAATGTTTGATAAACACTTCATAAAAATGTGTTATTTGACTAAAGGGTTGGTAATAATGGCAGAGACATCTTCTTTACTTGGTTTGGGAAAACAAATCAGTAAAGTGTATTTTAAGCCAGAACAGGGATGTTTCCAAAATTTCCCAAATTGTTTATATCACTTGCCTCTGATGTCCTAAAATACCACAGATCTGAGATGATTGGTGACCTGTCTGAAGCAGGAAGTTTGACACTGATGTCATGTGTCTGTTGTTTCAGGACTGTCTGTTTCACAGCAACATCACCAGTGATTTGAAAGCCTTCACAGACAAGTTTGGTTTCGATGTCCTCATCTTGATCGCGAATTACTCGGCAGAGGAGCAACAGAGACAGCAAATTGCTGTGTACTCCCAGAACCTGGAACTGTGCAGCCAGGTGAGCCTTCCTCTGTCTGGTTCACTGCTTGTGATTCTTGAATTAAGGACATGTCGTAAGAGACAATAATGGAGTGGTGTCTCACAAGAAACAGGCCCAAGAGATAGAGTACTGAGATTGGACTTGTAGGAGAAACAGAGGTATGTTGCAGATTGTCTCATTTTGGAAAGGCTGTTAGTCCATTTTGTGTTGCTGACAAAGTACCAGAGGTCAGGTACTTTATAGAGAAGATAGATTAATTTGGCTCACACTTCTAGAGATTCAAGAGCAAGCCTCTGATTTGTACACTGGTGTGGTAAGGACTTTCTGATAGATGGCCAGAAAGCAAAAGCCTAGACCTGCTTTGTAACCACCCATTCTCATGGAAATTAATACAGTCCCTTGAAGCCTTCATTAATCCTCATGTGGTGCCCTTGTCATCTGACCACCTACTAGCCCCACTTCTTAAAGATTCCACCACATCAAATACTGTCATCAGGGACCAAGCTTTGCATGCACAAACCTTGGAGTGACACAAAACCATAGCAGAGCCCCCACGAGTCCCCTTCTAGACTGAACCAATAAAGAAAACTATCAGTTCTTTCTCATCCAAATCAAGGTGACTCCTTTTCATACTGTTTTCTTTTGAAACCATTCCCTGATGATGACTCACCTAGTCACTGTCTCAGTACCCATGCGGTGCCGGGTGTTTAGAACAAGTGATCTGATGTTTGTGGGTGCCTTTTCTTTGTTAGTGATTCTCTGAAAGGGTAGGGCTTGGAGAAAAAGGAGTGGGGCTTTCTGGATCAAGCAGGAGTAAACTGGAGATTCCAGCCAAACACTCCCCAAGGCAAGAAGCAACAGAAGCTCAACCCATGGCCTTTCCCTTTCTCACCTTTCCCTGTGTCTATCCTAACACGCTGTCAGGGTTAGGCCAAGGCTGGCTTCCTCTCCTATTTGAACACTTACATCTAGGAAAGGCTTTCCTTGGTTTTAAACATCTTTATCTGTGACTCCCAGAAACCAGTGAAATGGAGCAGCTGATTAATCTACTTTTAAGTTGCATGAGCAGTTTGATGGGGCTGGAGAAAGAGCAGGTGGCAGGCTAAGCTCAGTGTCCTGGTACCCGGGTCCCAGTTGTTTGTGGCCTTCTCTGTAGACAGATGGACACATTTTAATTTTATATTAAGAAAAATAGCAGGCTGCAGATACAGCTCAGTCGGCAGACTGCTTGCCCAGCATGTACAAAGCCCTGAGTTCAGTCACATGCACTATATCAGTCTGGCACAGTGGTCCACGCTTCTTATAGACCCAACACGTAAGAGCTAGAGGCAGTATATCACTGTTCTGTTGCTGTGATAAAACCCCATGACCAAGTCAATGTACAAAAGAAAGAGCTTCTGTTGGCTTATGGTTTCAGGGGGATTAGAATCTGTAGCGGCAGAGCAGTATAGCTGCAGGCAACAGGTAGCAGGCATGGCAGCCACAGCAGTGAGTTTACAGTTCAAATCCTTTACCATGAAGCAGCTAGAACAAACTGGAATGGCCCAAGGCTTTTCATCTCAAAGTCCGCGTCCAGTGAGGTACTTGTTCCTGCAAAGCTGTACCATCTAAACCTCCCCAAGCAGCACCACCAACTGGGAACAAAGTGTGCAAATACCCAAGACTAAGGTGTGTTGGGGGGTTCCCATCCAAATCACCACGGGCAGGAATCTCAGGAGTTCAAGGTTATCCTTGGTGATAGAATGAGTCTGAGACCAGCCTGAGCTACAAAGAGACACTGCCACAGGATAACAGCAAGACAAGCAAACAAGCAGTGGGAGGAGGGACAGAGGAATTGACTCTGTTGGTAAAGGACTTACCTCCCAAAAAGCTGGGTATGGTGGCACAGGCTTGTCATCCCAACCCCTCCCCCATCAATCACTAATTCAGAAAATGCCCTACAGTTGGGTTTTATGGAGGCATTTTCTTAATTGAGGTTCCCATCTTTCAGGTAACTCTAGCTTATGTCAAGTTGACATAAAAACAGCCAAGACGATCAGTCTTCCCCAGAAATGAGCCCCCTAATTAGTTATCTAACACCAAGTGGCCATCCCTAAAAACATGTGTATGAGAAACATTAAATGGACTCAGAAGGTTATACTTGTATATTTACTTATATATATATATATATATATATATAGTGTGTATATGATAAAAAGAAAAACAGACAATGAGTCTGATAGGGAATGGGGGCATGAAAGGAGTTTAATGGAGGAGGAGGCGAGAAATGAAGTAAATGTAGTACACACATGCGAAAAAACACGAATTTTTACTAAAAAGTCGAGAAAGACAAAGTGCAAAGGATATCTCCACGCTCACACAAACCCTTGTGCCTCACCACAGATTTGTTGTGAATTGGAAGAAAGTCAGAACCCCTGCCTGGAACTGGAGCCCTTTGAATGCGGCTGTGACGAGATCCTGGTGTACCAGCAGGAGGACCCTTCGGTGACCTGTGACCAGGTGGTTCTTCTTGTCAAGGAAGTTATCAATAGGAGGTGCACAGAGATGGTCTCTAACAGTCGGACATCCTCAACAGAGGCTGTGGCAGGCAGCGCCCCCCTGTCCCAGGGCTCTTCCGGGATTATGGAATTGTATGGATCTGACATAGAGCCACAGCCCAGCTCTGTGAATTTCATAGAAAACCCCCCAGAGCACAATGATTCTAACCAAGCTCAGGTGGATGTCAGTGTAGACCTTGTTAGCCCCGACAGTGGGTTGGCCACAATCAGGAGCAGTCGTTCATCCAAAGAGAGCTCAGTGTTTCTCAGTGATGACAGCCCAGTGGGAGAGGGTGCCGGGCCTCACCACAGCCTTCTCCCAGGATTTGACTCCTACAGTCCCATTCCCGAAGGTGTGGCTGCAGAGGAACATGCACGTTCTGGGGAACACAGTGAGCACTTTGACCTCTTCAACTTTGACCCAGCACCCATGGCTTCTGAGCAATCCCAGCCATCCTCCCATTCTGCAGACTACTCGCCAGAAGATGATTTCCCCAACAGTGATTCATCAGAAGGAAACCTCTCTGCGGGGCCTAAAGGACTTGGTGAGATGGGGGTCAACATGTCTAATTACTCCTCCAGTTCACTTTTGTCAGAGACCGGGAAAGACAGCCTTGTGGAATTTGATGAAGAGTTTGTCCAGAGACAAGAAAGCTCAGGAGGTAGCTCTGAAAGAAATTTAAGTCTGACATGTTTTGTGGGAGATGACCCTTCTTCCCCCCAAAGGCTGAAGAATATCGCAAAGAGGATCCCACCAACACCTATGAACAGCTTTATAGAAATCTCACCATCAGCTGAAGAGCCAGTCCCACTCTATCCAGAAGATATGGTCCAGAATGCAATCAACACGGGACTCCTGGGACCACCTCAGATTCGTGCACGGTGCAGCAGCTGGTGGGGTGGCTTGGAAATTGACTCTAAAAGTATTGTAGATGCATGGAGCTCTGGTGAACAAGAGCCTGTCTTCCAGAGCCCTGAATCATGGAAAGATCAAAAGCCAGGCCTTGGGGAGAGGAGAACCTCAGATTCCACATTCCAACCAAAGAGTCTCGAATTCCCAAAGTCAGATCCCTGGGAATCTGAATTTGATCAGCCTGAACTGGGCAGCAAAGACACCCAGGACCAGAAGAAGGAGAGCTTGCAATGTCAGCACCCACCCACTGAGAGGCCGCATTTGACAGATGACTCTCCTCAAGGGACAAACCACCTCATAGAAGACTTTGCTGCTTTGTGGCATTCAGGCCACTCACCAACAATGATGCCCGAGCCCTGGGGAAAGCCCTCAGACTCTGTTGACGCTGCTGTTACATTGCCCTTCCCTGCCTGGGGTGCATTTGATAAGAAAGATAGTGCGGAGACTCTAAACAGTACTTGGAATCTTCATCCCACTAACCATGAGACGCCTCCTGTGCAGGACCCCAGTGAGTGGGCTATGGCCAAAAGCGGGTTTTCATTCCCCACTGCAGACCTACTGGACAAGTCCCTTGTTGAGGTCAATGAAGATGCAGCTCCAGAAATCTGGGGCAAGAAGAACAATGGCTCCAAGGATAATATTCTTACATCTGGAAGTTCCATTTCTGATCTAGATCAGACGTGGAATAAATCTAAGCTACTAGGGGAAGACCAGAATGGTTTGGTGGATCCTAAAGCCAGAGGGAAAGTATATGAAAAGGAAGGCTCCTGGAACCTCTTTGAGGAGAGTGTTAGGAAAAGAGGGCCAGATGTGTTAGTTCCTTGGGAAGATTCCTTCTTGTCATATAAATGCTCTGATTACAGCGCATCCAACCTAGGAGAAGATTCTGTCCCATCCCCCTTAGACACCAACTACTCCACCTCTGACTCTTACACATCACCGACAAATGCTGGAGATGAAACAGAAATGGAAAACAAGCCATTTGCTAGAGAGAATGCTTTTGAAGCAAAAGACCCTGGCTGTCCTGCAGATGGGGTTGAGGCTCTTGCAATGTCACCACAGCAGCCTCAGAGAAATCGAATTGGTTCTGGTCCTGGGAACCTAGATATGTGGGCATCACCTCATGCCGATGATAAGCCTGAAGGCAGTGACACCCATCACCCAGATAAAGATTTACTTAAGATAGAGCATGCAGAAGATGGGAATGCTTCCATGGAGGATGATGTAGGGGAGAGCAGCCCATCCAGTTACGATGACCCTAGCATGATGCAACTGTACAATGAGGCAAACAGGCAGCTTACCCTTCTACACAGCAACACCAACTCACGCCAGGCAGCCCCTGACAGCCTCGACACATGGAACCGGGTGATTCTGGAGGACACACAGTCCACCGCAACAATCTCAGACATGGATAACGACTTGGATTGGGATGACTGCAGTGGGGGTGTGGCCATCAATGGTGATGGTCAAGCAGAAGGTTACATAGCTACAAACACTGAACCTGAAACCCGGTTCTCAGTGAAGCAGCTGGAACCATGGGGCACAGAACATCAAGAAGCAAATCAGGTAGACTGGGACCTCTCTGCCTCTGCTGAGCCTACAGGGGACACTGGTCCCAGTGAATACCATACCCTGAATGAGAAAAGTGGGCAGCTAATTGCAAACAGTATTTGGGATTCTGTCATGAAAGATAAAGATATGCCATCATTTAGATTACCAAGCCCACCCAATACTACAGATAAGGAACAAGGCACTTGGCCTCCTGAAAGTTCCGGGAACTCAGTAAATGGTAAGGACAGTCACATGTTAGAAGCCTCTGGACTCAGTGAATCAGCAGTGCTTACATCTCAATCTGACAATCAGGACACATGGACAGAGTCCCAAGGTGGCACAGCATCCTTGGTGACCAGGCTGGAGAGTCTAGAGCGTGTTACACAGTCAGATCCATGGACAGGCCATACTTACGGACAGAGTGAAAACGAGATTGAAGGCCTGACAGCATCTGGCAGCAGGCATCTCAACAAGGAGGCAGAAATAGCTTCTGGGCTCGAAGGTGCCTCCTGGGCTTCTGGGAAAGAGTCCAGTGACCAGGAACTGTCTTTTTCAGCTGCATTTGAACACCCAGAAATCTGCACTGCGTCAGGCAAAATCAAACCTCTTTCAGTCACCCCCAGTCCTCAGACTGAGGGACCAGAGGAAGCCTTAGAAGTTGAGAAGGAGTCTTATTCTCTAGACTCCTTTGCTGTGCAAACAGACACACTCACAAGTAATTTGCAGACAAAACAGACCCATGAAGAATCTCTCATGGATCACGGAAATTCTGATGAAACCATCGCAACTGCCGATGGGCCTAATCTAATAAAAAATATGCCTTTGTCTGAAATGGAACTTGAGAAAACTGAAGACTGTAATCTCCTAGAGCCAGAAAGAGCAAATGACAAGCTACTTTATGAATTGCCTCAAGACTTTTGTGCTTGGGATGGCCCTGTAGATAGTGATGTGTGGGATAGTCGCATAAGTTATGAGGCAGCTACGAACCCTGCAGGTCAGGGCACTGAGAATGGAGTCCCAGAAGCCTTTTCACCAGGAAACTATGATAGAGACAGCCTCTCTAGTGGGTGCACTCATTCAAGTGTGTCGAGTCCTGACCTAAACGATTCTTCAGTTGCTTTGTCCTGGACCCATGGACCCAGTACTGAACTTCGGGAAGAGGACCAGGATGACAGGAGCAAACAGACTCATCAACAACCAGAACTATTGCCTGCTGAATCCCAAGTAGAAGTCATTGCTGAAATGAGGGACTCTGCAAGAAACAGAAAGGATGAAGTTGGAAAGATGTTTGATCACAATGATCCTAAATTTCCTGAGAATCCAAGTGATTCCATCAATGGTGACTCCTCATCATCTTCATCCAGCCTTGGGACAGATAAATATTTAGAATATTCTCAAGCATATCAGGAAGGCAATGTAATGATTAGCTGTCAAGAAGAAAATGAACTTGTGGAAATTGTGCAGCCAGAGGATACTAGGATAGAGAATTCAAGCTCATGCTCTGATGATGACAGTGGGGGTGACGAAGAGTTGTTGGAGAAGAGGTTCCATTTGGCCACATGTCAAGTTTCTCAGAGTGAATCTGCGGCTTATGATTCATTGCATGAACCCAACTTCTTGGCCACAGAGGATCCCAAATCCATCTTTGTGGGTAGTTCAGAGCCAATAGAGAAAGAGAGCAAGTCAAACCCATTCTGTGACAGTCAACAAAGCAGCCCTGGTCAGTGGATTTTGTCACCGCTCATGCAGACTGACACACAGGATACATCTATGGGGGCCAAAGCTGCAGAAACAGGGAAGATGGGAGATAACATATGGCAGGTAACTCCCAGAACTGAGTCCCAGGATGGAGACCCTGCTCAATTGGAAATGCTTGGCTTCTCAACTGACAGCAGTGAGTGGTGGAACACCTCTCTACAGGAAGGGAGACCAAATGCCGGTATATCTGCAGAGGTATTGTCTAACTCAGAGGGTGAGTTAGAGGCAACTTCTCCAGTTTTCCAGAATTCCGGTCCCTGGGGCACACCCATTCAGAGTGACAGTGAGCCTGTGGACACAGGCAATACTAGTCCTTTCAGTGGTAAACTAAAGTCACCCTTTCTAGACAGTAATGGAGACGAGTCACATGAGAAACTCTGGAACATTCAACCAAAGCAGCTAGACTCAGAGGCCAATCAACTCAGTCAGCTTGTAATATTGAACCAAGTTAAAGATGGGGATTCTGGACAGCAAACAGTCATGTCCTCTGCTGCTGATGAGCTTCTTGCAGAAGCTCGCACTCAAGAGCAGTGTCAGGAATCTATGCTGTCTGCCTGGGACCATCCAGAGCCAGCATTTACTAACAGATATGAAAATGAATGTGTCAGCCCTGGACTTTCACCCACTGAGTGCCAACAAGAGAACTGGTGGGAACAGGAAAAATCCTATCTCAGCCAAGTGACATATTCAAGCCCTATCACAGAAAATCTCCCTGCAGTCAATGCCCCCACACAGCTGATAAAGAAGTCGGGTTCTGAATGGGATAGCCCCAGCCCCAGTGAACCCCAGAATAATTTTGTTCCAGATATCTTACATGGCAACTTCCAAGAGGGTGGGCCACTGGCCTCGGCTTCACCTGATTTGTGGGTGGATGACAAACAGCCTTACGCTTTCACAGCGGATGCTGAGAATCCTGATATATTGACTCACTGTGACCCTGACAGCAACTCTCAGGCCTCCAGCAGCCCTGATGTGTGCCACAATTCTGAAGGAATGCAAGAGATGGAGATGCATACAGGTGTTTACCTGGGACCTGAGGTGGACCCCAGTGAGCTTGACCTCACTGAGCCGAAGATGAATGATGAACTTCCTCGGGGACCTGGGATGGAATCTCTCCCACTCTTTTCAGAACTCTGTTCTGAACAGGCAATACCACTGCCTCCAATCAACCATCAGACGGATATAAAGGGCTCATCTATGCCTGCCTCTCCAGAAAGTTCCCCAGAGCCTTCTGATATGTGCAGAGACAACAATACAAGCTTAACAACATTGGAGGGGGACACTGACCCACAAGTGGGAGCAGTGGCTGGGATGACCCCAGGTGCAGGTAGTGTAGACACTCCTGTAACTCATCAGGAGGTCACTAGAGAAGGCAACGGCTCTTGGGTGTCTGAAGACCTTTTTCCCGAAAGTCAGACAGGCACTGGAGCCTTGCTTGAGTGTGAGCAACCGTTTGCTTCTGAGAACCCCGCTGTTCTTACTGACACCCTGCTAGCCTCAGACACCTGCCTGGATGTGAGCGAAGCTGCCTTTGACCACAGTTTCAGCGATGCCTCGGGCCTCAACACTTCCACAGGCACGATAGACGACATGAGTAAGTTAACGCTATCAGAAGGCCATCCTGAAACGCCAGTTGATGGGGATGTGGGGAAGCAAGATGTCTGTTCATCTGAAGCTTCCTGGGGTGATTTTGAATATGACGTGATGGGCCAGAATATTGATGAAGACTTGATGAGAGAGCCTGAACACTTCCGCTATGGTGGTGATCTCCCGTTGGAGGAAGGCACGCTGAAGCAATCGCTCACGCCGTACACGCCCCCCTTTGATTTGTCGTACCTCACAGAATCTGCTGCTGATGCTGACACAGCACAGGAAGCTGGGTCCCCAGGTGATACATCTCTGGGGAGTGACGCGGTAGAGATGCTGCTCTCTGCTCTTCCTGATCAACAGGAGGAAAACCACACCGAGACCAGCAGGCAGCCTAGACACCAGATGACTGTGCTGCATATTCATGAAGACCCTGAGACTCTTTCATCACCTGTAGGAGGACCGGGTTCCAACTTAGAGTCATCTCCATCAAACATTGACTGGGAAATAGAAACTGATAATACAGATTCACCAGCAGGTGGCGACATGAGACCACCAAACGGTAAGCAATGCAGCCCCCCAACCCCCCCACCCCCGTCTTGTTCCTCAAGGAATCAGCATTAATTAAATTAGTGCATTTGATTTGCTAAAATACTGCTACCCAAACAGGCAGAGAAAGTAACTGTATGTCCAATCCGTTGTCTAACGGATTGGAATCTTCAGTATATGTTAATGTAATGACTCGATTATGAAACTTCCCTGTGCATGGGAAAATTGAACAGGTACCCAAAATGAAAATACTTATTAACTTGTCTCTTTTATAAGAGATCGTTTGCAAAGAACACAGATCATATAATGTGTTAATTAATCCCATTCTCTCGTTCTCCCTTTCATATTCTAGATGTCAGCAAGGAGTTGCTAGAATTGGAAGAAGAGAAAGTAATTCCTGCAAAAGGGCCCAAGCAGACAACATTAGAATACAATGAAGATACATGGACAGAGAAAAGCAAAGACCATCATACCCTAGCTGTGGGTTACATACTTGTAAGCCATGAAAAAGATTCACCATTGAAACCAGAGGCCTGGGAAGCAAGAGAAAACTTACCTGAATTAGAACAATTATCCACAGGTTCTGGAGAAACAGAGCTACCAGATACTCAGTTAGCAGGGGTCGCAGACTCAATCCAGCCTGAGTCTTTAAACGAAGTCAAAGCTGGTCCTGCAGAGAGAATGTCTTCTGCCCACAACATGAGGGCATCTCCTGAAAAGCCTGCGCAAGAGCAGAGTTGGATGGTCTTGGGCCACAGTGAGGATGGTGACCCATCCTCAGAGACAAGGGACACTGGGCCTGGGTCTCCTGACAGAACTGTGGAGCAGTTTTTGAGTCTCAGCTTGGACAAGGGTCCCCAGTCCCAGATTCTGGAAGGAAATGAGCCTCTAGACTCGTTAGCACTGGAGGAAGTCACTGGTTTGAACAGCCAATCAAGGAAGAGCAAGAGAGGAGGGCAAGCTGGTCTAGATGCAGTTCCAGCACAGGCTGCCACCCACGACAATGAATGGGAAATGCTTTCACCGAAGCTCTCTCAGAAAAAGAGGATCCCTCCACAGGAGATGGAGGAGGAGACAGAGTTCCTTGAGCCTAGACCCAGGAAGCCAAGACCAAATGGGTAAGCAAAACACTAGATTCATTTTTTTAATGAAAATATTTAGAAATAGTGAGTGGTTCTGAAATGTGAGGGTGCCAGGGTAAGACGATCTTTTCTGACACTTGCTATAAGATGTGTCACCAGCAAAAGCAATCGCTACACAAGGATTAGCAAAATGAAGTCTGGCAGCCAGTCTCTACACACCCTGCTGACTCTGAAACAGGCAAGAGGAACTGGACAATCCAGTGTCAGCATCTCTCCAGGACCTACTCTGTATAGGGCAGCTTGCACTCATCAGCTCAATGACCCTTCCATGATGGGGACTAAGGGAGAACAGTGGGGTGAGAGAAGGAACTCTAGGCTCAGGGCGCTTCTGTAATTGTCCTAGATTCGTGTTAAATGAATAGGTGGAGTGCTCTGGGCTCCCATCCTTCCTGAAGCTGAAACCCCTGCCTTTCTTGTTGGCACACTGTCTTTGGTACAGAAAAACCATTCTGTACCAACTATATAAACACCTGGCTTTCAGCGGGGACCAGGAGACTCCAACACAGGTTCAAAATCAGCACGTAACACTCCTGCTCTAATTGGCTAAGAGGTGTCAAATGGTGGTCAAAGCAGTGATGGCCCCTCTGTTCACTGGTGTAGGGGTTTTAAGAATTTTTTTCTGTGGCCATTTATGGGAAGCCAAAGGGAAAGCAGCAAGGAACAGAATGTCACTACTGCCTTCAAGGTTTGGGGGTGTGCTGATAATCTTTAATATTTTCCTTTCATTTGCCCTTAAAAATAGTAAAAAGAAATAAGTACCTAGAAGGGAAGCTATCTCTTTGCTTTAAAATGCAGTGTGATGTACACTGGGGCATGTATGAACCTGCCCCCACCACCCAATAAATTAGTTAGTGAGATCAAGGTATAACTGTGGTGTCTGGAAGACCCCCTGCCCCTGCTCAGTATGGGAGCATAAAGGGCAGTGTGTGGCAAAGGCACTGTGAATCAAAGTATTCGGAACCCAGCCTCACTCGCCCCGACCTCCTCTATAAAAGTCATTGGGTGGAGCTGGAGGCTTTCAAGCCTTCCCCCTGCAGAATTCAATTCTATGAACTTAGCTTGTATGGAACCAAAGCATGTCAAAAGCTTCCATTCTCACAAATGGCATTTCTTGTTGAAAGTAAAGGGAAGTGAAGACTAGGAGGAGGGTGTTCAAGGCTTTCAGAAAAGCACGAGGAGTTTTAAAATCAGGGCATTTCAGTTGACCTAATCTTTCTTCTTCCTGTCAAGCACTTTCTTCTCGAGAGAGCCCAGAGTTAGTAGAGGAGAGCTGCTAAGGGACCCTAGGGCACCTTCCCTTCAGGGCTTAGCCCTTTCCACTTAGCCTCTACAGTGAGACTTTGCTCTCCACCTCTGCTGCCTTTACATAATCTATTCTAATACATTTGAGCAGTTCACCCTTTAGTTTTTGAGTGAATATAGTTGTTGATAAGAGGGTAGGGAGTACAGCTTGGTGGTTGAGCCCTGTTTCACAAGCCTAAAACCCTGGGTGCAATCCCTAATACCTTTGGAGAGTCAGGAATTGGGGATAAGGCCCCACCAGCTGCCTTCAGAGTTGCTCCCCTGAAATTCAGATACTTAAGCTTGAGAACTATTATTTGAAGTCACATCCCTAGACTCACCGATGTTTATTATCTAACCAAAGAGTGAGACATAGACAAGAGTACAAACAATAGTGACCAGTGTTAGTTCAAATGTACACAATGGTGACATGTGTTAGTTCAAATGTACACAGATGGCACCTGTGGGCATTTGCTGCCACCTGGCTCCTAGGCACTGTGTGTATGGTCTCAGTTTGTGTGCTGACTAGTTTTATGCCAACTGGGTACAAATAGAGTCATTTTGTAAGACCAAACCTCAATTGAGAAAATGCCCCCAATAGATTGGCCTGTGTGCAAGCCTGTGAAACATTTTCTTTTCTTTCTCTTATTTATTTATTTTTATTACACTGGTGTTTTGCCTGCATGTATGGCTGTGTGAGGGTGCCAGATCCTCTGGAACTGCAATTACAGACAGTTGTGAGCTGCCATGTGGGTGCTGGGAATTGAACCTAGGTCCTCTGGAAGAGCACCCAGTGTTTTAAACTGCTGAGCCATCTCTCCAGCCCATGATACATTTTCTTGTTTGATGGTTGATGTGGGAGGGCAAAGTCTATTTATTGTGGGTGGTGCCACCCCTGGCAGGTGGTCCTAGGGGCTATATGAAAGCAAGCTGAGCAAGCCATGAGGAGAAAGCCAGTAAGCGCCATTCCTACATGGCTCTGTATCAGCTCCTGCCTCCAAGTTTGAGCTCCTGCCTTGACATCCCTCAATGATGGGCAGTCATGTGGAAGCATTTGGTAAACCCTTTCTTCTCCAGGTTGATTTTGGTCATGGTATTTTAACACAGCAATTGAAACCCTAGCTACGATACTTGGCAATGATGGCAGTGTGAGCTATAGGAGTTTTAGACTAGACCAAACAGAGCATCAAATACCAGGTCCCAGAGGCATGGCAGACAGTGACGGGTGAGCCTTTTCCTTTCTATGTGGTCACAGAGCATACCTGCAGAATATTTGGTAGTGTATAAACCTCTGTCCCTCTCCTTCCCCAGTCTCTCTTTGTGCTAAGACTTGAGCCCAAGTCTTGATGGACGCTGAGCAAGCGCTCCAGCACTGTGACTTCCCGCCCCTCTCCCGAAATGAAGAGACAGAGTCGTCTGAGACATAGCGTGTAAACACAACAACAGCAACAGCTGGGGCTGGTGAGGTGGCTTAGGGGGAAAGGTGCCTGCTACCAAGCCTGACAACCTGAGTTCAGTCTCAGGACCGACGTGGTACGAGGGGAGACCCGGTACGAGGGGAGACCCAAGTCCCAAAAGTTGTCCTTACAGTTCCACACAGATGCTGTGGTGTGTGCACATCTGCGCGCACGCGCGCGCACGCGCGCACACACACACACACACACACACACACACACACACAGGAACATAAGAACACACATAGACACACAAAAAAATGTAAAGAAAAAAGAAAATGTCAGTGATGTTATTAAATACTAGTCAGCATTTACCAGAGGAACAACGCCTACTCATTAAAACCTGTCTAACCCAGGGGGCTAGAGAGATAGCTCAGCAGTTAAGAGCACTTGTTGCTCTTGCAGGGGACCTGGGTTCCATTACAAGCATCCACAGAGTGCCTTACAGCCACCTGTCATCCTAGTTCCAGAGGACCCGGCAGTCATGCATATGATACATGCACATGCATATGGGCAACACATTCAGACATGCAAAGTAAATAAATCTAAAAAAAATCTGTTCAACTCACCATCTCAACTACATAAAAGTTGCAATATTTGATCTACAAATATATTGACTTTCAGAGGTGTGAAAACTAATAAAAAGGAAATAATTACCAAAATACTGAGCACAAAATGGCAATACTTGTGTAATCTTTTGGAGAGCTATGTATGCAGAAAAGGGGCAATGAGAGGAAGAGAGAGATGGAGTTCCATCTGTCATGTGTGTCTTTCTTTGCTATTCAGCCTAGACCTTTGCATTGTTTCTTTGTTCTGAGAGCAGAGGTCTCAGCGCTCCCTAACCTGGTTGCTTGGCCTTCAAATACAATGTATCATAGAATCCATCTGCCTTTGTTTTGTTTTGTTGTTGCTTTTTTGGTTGTTTGGTCGTTTGGTTGGGTTTTTTTGTTTTTTGTTTTTTGTTTTGTTTTGTTTTGTTTTTTTGAGACAGGTTTCTCTGTGTACTCCCGGCTATGCTGGAACTCACAGGCTGATCTTGAGCTCAGAGATCCACCTGCCTTTGACTGTTAAGTGCTGGGATTAAAGGTGTGCACCACCACCTCCCAGGGGCAGTCTGTCTTCTGAAAGAGTGACACTGCTAGACTTTTCCTTGGTTTTCATGAGACCTTCAGAAACCAGGCTTCTCAGGTATTACCACAGCCATTTCCTCTCTTTTGAAAGTACTTATTTTTATTACTTTTTAATTATGTATGTGTGGGTGTGTGCAGGTGAATGCTGGGTACCTGCTGAGGCCAGAGGCATCAGATCTCCTGGAGTTGAATTATGGGCTGTTATTTTCATTCTCTCCAGCTTCTGCACTAGCTCTCTTTACTCTCATGGATGTCAGAGAAACAGACTTCTGTTGGTGTCAGGTAGCAGGGGCACAGAAAAGCCTATTTGGTAGTAACAACTAAGTATCCTCTGAATTGCAATTTCCTTCCTCTCCCTCCCTGTCTCCCCCCATCCCCCATCCTACTCACCCCCCCCATATTGGATCCCCCTGCCTCACCCCACAACTGTGTCTTCCTGGCCACCCACGAGAACAAACCTTCCCATAATAAGTGATTACATGTTAAGAAGAATGTGGTTTTCTTTCGTGTACCCAGTTGCCATTTAAGACAGGACAAGCCTTGCTGGTCCTGTTTCCCACCTTGATAGAGTAAACTGAGCAAATAGGCTGCCGATGTCATTAAAAACAAGGAATGGGCTGGGCAGGCAGTGGTGGTGTATGTCTTTAATCCCAGCACTCTGGAGGCAGACAGAGACAGGTGTATCTCTGTGAGTTGGAGGTCAGCCTGGGTCTACAGAGTGAGTTCCAGGACAGCCTCCAAAGCTACAGAGATACCCTGTCCCCAAACAAACAAAAAAGGGGCTGGAGAGATGGCTCAGTGGTTAAGAGCACTGACTGTTCTTCCAGAGGTCCTGAGTTCAATTCCCAGCAACCACATGGTGGCTCACAACCACCTTGAATGAGATCTGGTGCCCTCTGCTGGCCTGTAGGCAGAAGGCTGTATACACAATAAATAAATAAAATATTTAAAAAAGAAAACAAAAACAAAAAATAAACCAAAGAAACAAAAGACAAGAAATGGTAAAGCTTACCCTTTACTTCTCTCTCTCATTTCCATGCCAGTGCTTGTCACTAAAACACAACCCCGGAAAGACATGTCTTCTTCAACTCCTGTAGTTTGATTTATTTGG